CTTCATCAGCTCCAAAAGAGGATCGAGCCAAGCGTAGCCAAGCCTGGCAAGCTCTCGCAACTGCATAGTCGCAAGCGATTAGCTAAAAATTTTCACAAACTGGAAATCAGAAGCATGCATCAGGGACCAATTCTCGCCAAGTGGTTACTCACCGCTCTTTTCACTCGGAAGACTACTGCCTCTGTTAGAGGATGTTTGCACCAGCTTAGCGTAGGGCTAATGCAGCTAGCGATCTGTATAGCCGCATCAGATGAGTATAGTAAGCAGGCCACCCATTCGCTAGGGAACGCAAACGCGGTCTCGTGCTGGGAGCTTTGGGCCATCGGCTAAAAGGAGTATAGATAGTAGTGGTAACAGAGAAAATGATCACATTTAGGTGGAAAGTCTCTTAGTCTTAAGAGATGAATATATAAATATAAGTTAAGATAAAGTTAATACTTACAAGGTTAAGTCTTGCAATGATTGAATTCAGAAAGGAAAATTACCTTCAGAAGAGCATGCGCTTTGAATAGGCGTTGGTTCTGTTCATACAAAGCAGGAACTGAAAATTCGTTTAACTGGCTGGCTGCCAATTCTTGTAAAGCCTGAATCCATTCACAGCTCTCAAGAGAAAGTCTCTAAATGAAAAAAATTTGTCTGAACACATTTGGGTCACCAACCAGTTCATATAGTTCACGACTGAAAGCAATTTCGCACTGTACGCTTCCTGACATTAGAAAGTGAAACATTCTTGAGATTCGGATCAAATAAAGCTGCTGCTGCTAAGTCCGAAGAATATCAATAAACCATAGCACCTACGTTCACATTTATTGCCTGGAGATTTGGTAGAGCTACGGCTTTCCAGTGGCCATTTCGAAATGCTACCCGAGCTATAACATAACGATCGTAGTCCGTTCCTTTCGCTAACGTGTCCATTTCCTTTGGTAAATGTATAGAAGGGGCCAAGAGAAGATAAGCCATAGGTGGGCTTAGGAGACAACTCTGACATTGTATTAATGGAATTTCACAGTTACTGGAATCCTTCGCTTTACCTCTTTTGCCATTAAATCCTTCGCCCAACTGTGAAGCTTTTCCACAACGAAAGGTAAGCGACTAACCAATTGGCAGCAAAGTTCGATCAAGAGATTTATATTTGCGTGAGTTACTGGTTTATCGAGTATGTTATGCAGCACTGAAAGCACTCGCTCGGGTTCAACTTCACTGCAGCAGAGAAATTTCCCGAGAGTGCAATAAAACTGGAAAAGCTAGTATAAGTTAGATAGATACTATTTGAAGCTATCTGACTACCTTCTTAGCTAGATTGATCGGCAACTCGTAGCTGGTTGTACTTACGA